GTGTGTGTGTGTGTGTGTGTGTGTGTGTGTGTGTGTGTGTGTGTGTGCTGGCATGCACTCATGCCCTTGACAATCACGGGATAATAGAATGTTGGAGCTGGAAGGAACGTTGGAGAGCATCCTTTCTGAGGCCCAGGAGGTGAGGTGAGATATCTTCCCTGAGGTCACACGGGCAGCAGCAGCAAAGCCAGGATTCAAATCCAGGTTTTCTGACTGCAAAACCAGTGTCTCTTACTCTGATCCAAAGCTCAAAGAAAGCTGTAGTCTGGTGTCTTGTTTACAGAAGCATCGTCTTCCAATGACATCAGACAATGAAGAATTTGTCAGCTTTGCAGTAACTACCAACCCCTTAGCACAAACCCTTCTGCTGGGGAGAGATGATCTTCCTTCACCAAACTCGGTGCAAGTGAGAGCAACCTGGCAAGGAGGCCTGTTGGGTTGGTGAGGCAGAAAGATCACAGATGTTTTTGATGGTGATGATGAATCACAGGTGGAAAACATAACAGTCAAAAAAATATAATAGAGGGTTAGGAGGTAGGGTTTTTTTAAAAAAAATAATCAATAAACCTTTACTAAGCACCTACCATGTGCTAAGTATTGTGCAAAATACTGGTGACAAAATATAAAAAAGGAATACATTCCTTGCCCTCATGGAGCTTACAATCTAATGGGGCAGGAGAGTGGGGGGACAACACACAAAAAGAAGTTGAAAAGTGGGGCTGGGGTGAGAGAAATTGTGCAGAGAAGGGGCTTATGGAGATGTCCAGAGAAGTCCAAATCAGTGCAGTTGGGTGGGAGATAAGGAGATGGCTGGGCTGGGTCTCCTCCTTAAATAGAGTTTCCATATTTATAGCCATAGATTTAACTGAAAAGATCCTTAGGGATCATTTTGTCCAGCCCCCTCATCTGCAAGATGAGGAAACTGAGGCCTGAAGAGGTAAAATGATTTACTCAAGGTCATGCAAATCATTACTAGCAGAGTCAGGATTCAAACCCAGATCCCTTTAACTTTGAAGAGAATGTTCCTTCACCACATTGGCTCCTCAGGATTTAGTCCTTTTGACCAATTTCTGAGTTCTGGTTTGAGGAAAAGTGACTATTAGCTCTACAGTCTCATGATGAGAGGCCTAGGGGCCCAATTCCAGCAAAACCAGTTTATCCTCCCTTCTATTAACCCGCACTTTGGCACCTCTACCGCCATAATAACAATCCTAATGATGCCCCTGAGAAATTGCACGATCCTGAAGTGCCTTCTGAATCATCAGCAATTAAGTTTTTTTCATTATAATTTTAGCATTAAGTATATTTCATAATATTTTCATTCTTCGAAAATTAGCCATCATAGAATGTTGGCACTAAAGGAGACCTTGGATGTCGTCTTGACCAACCTCTTCTTTTCATAGATGAACCCAAGAAAGATGAAGTGATTTGCCCAAGGTCACAAAGCTATTTAGTAAAAAAAAAAAAAAAATGGCCTAGTCTTGTGTGGTGGAAAGAGCTCTGAATTGAAAGTCAGAAGGGCTACAATGAAATCCCCCCCTCCACTATTTGCTACTTGTATGACCTTGGGAACTATTATCCTCTCTTGTCCTCTGTTTCCTCATCTGTCAAATTAAGGGGTTGAACTAGATGACCTGTAAGATTCCTTCTAGCTCAAAACCTATTAACCGATGACAGGTATGTATATATCTAAACCCCCATCTTCTACAAGTAGCCTTTCCCCATCCTCCTTAATTCTACTGCCTTCCCCTTGAGATTATCTCCCATTCTTCCTGTAGATAGTTTGCACATGATGATTTTCGTGTTTTCTCCCTAATTAAACTGAGAGCTCATTGAAAGAAGGGACTATCTTTTGCTTTTCTTCACATCCCCAGCACTTAGCAGGATGCCTAGCACATAGCTGGCACTGAATAAATGCTTACTGACTGACTGAAATACTGACTGACATTCATACGTATCTTTGGTCCGGTCTATGATTTCATCAGTGTAAGGGTATGTAAACTCCCTCCTATCCTGCAAATTACAGATTGACTCAGAGAATTGCTTAGAACAATGAGAAGTTAAGTGGTTTGCCATGGGCACATAGCTAGTAAGTGGGCAGAAAGGATTTGAGCCCGGGTCTTCCTGACTCTGAGACCAACTTTCTTTGTATGATGTTATACTGTGTATATATTTGTGTGTATGTACACATATGCACACATATGATTATGACAGAAAGATCTGAGCAAGAGTCACACAGGATGAAAAGGTAATCGATCGATTGAAAGATCAATAACAACAGATAACATTAATCTAGAGCTTACTATATGCCAGGCACTGTTCTACCCACCTTAGAAATATCTCATTTGATCCTCACAACAACCTTGCAACATAGATACTATTATTCTCTCCATTTTTACACTTGAAAAAACTGAGGTAAAGAGGTTAAGTGACTCACTAAAGGTCACACAGTTAGTAAGTGACTGAGACCGGATTTGAACTCAAATCTTCCCTACTCTAGGCCCAGTGCTCTATCCACTGTACAACCCAGCTACCTCAGTCAACAAGCATTAATTAAGCAATTAAACATTGACATTATTTTCCAGGCATTTTATCTGATACTGAAAATAAAAAAATAATGAAACTGTTTCTGGTCTCAAGAAACTCACTTTCTTGGTATAAACACTTGTACAAATATCAATTTATACAGAGGATATCTAAAGTAAATACATGGTAAGGGGTGGGGAAGGTAAAGGCACTGGCACCTGAGAGAATCAGGAAATGCCTCATGCAAGAAAGAACTCTTGAGCTGAGCTTTGAAGGAAGCTAAATTAATTCTAAGGTGCCTGATGGATTATCAGCTGTATTATTGGAGAAAGTACGCACACCATTTAGAAAGGCTGGAGCACCTGACTCCCTCCAGGCTTGGTGCTCTATCTACTGCACCGCCTAGCTGCCCAAACACATATATGTGTGTGAATATATATACATATATATACACACACACGTATATGCATATATGTATATGTGTATACATATATAGCTGTGTATACACACATGCAAATTTAAGTATTCCTAGTGAGAAAGTTCCTTTCTACCCATAAAGATCAGTAAATTCTCTGCAACTTTGCAACTTACAGAGTTAATCGGGGCATTGAGGGGTTAAGTGACCTATCCTGGGTCATATAGCCAGAAATGGGACCTACACACAGGTCTTCCTGACTCTGAGGCCAAGGAACTATTCACTATGTCATGCTGATGATATAAATATGTAATCTTTATATTTGCATGTGTGTATACATAGCTATGAGTTCAAATCTGGCCTTAGACACTTACTAGCTGTGTGACCCTGGGTAAGTCACTTAACCCTGTTTGCCTCAGTTTCCCCATCTGTAAAATGAGCCAGAGAAAGAAATGGCAAACCACTCCACTATCTTTGTCAAGAAAATCCCAAATGGGATCATGAAGTGTCGGACATGACTGAAACGGCTAAACAACAACACATGTATGTGTTTACATATAAGGTTTTAAACTCTTTATTAAACAGATACTGGATTAAACAGAACCCCTATTTCCTGACTACACCAGATAAGACTTTATGGTACCATTCAAAAGATGGCATATGTGACAACAAAATGAACTGGGAGCAGGAATCTGTGAAAAAAGCAATCATGCACATGTGGTTTATTTGCTCATTTGTTTGTCTGGTTTCTCCCATTAAGTCAAACCTCCTTAAGGGGAGGAATCATGTCTCTCCTTTATCATGTAATCCGAGAACATGGACTTGTGGCAGTGTTTTCTATAGAAACTGTCCGAGAACACATAACCCCAATTCCCTCGTGTTGCTGGCCCGAAACATTCTATCCCCTAGCAACCACAACCCAGCCTGTAGTCGAATACCTCCCTCCGCCTGACCTGGTAGCCTGAGCCCATCTTGTCTGCTGCTGCCAACGGGTGACTGATACCCAGAGGACAAACACTGCCGCCTTAAAGACTAAGCAAAAAGAACCTCCAGCCCTCCAGATGGAGAAGACCAAACCGGGATGCCCATGTCCATAGCTGGAGAAACGGCAAAATATATCCTGTACAGGCACTACAGATGGACAACGGTTGGGGTAGGAAAAGGAGATGGGGCAGGATCACATCACATTTGGAAGATCACGCTTTCAAATAGCCTAAGAGGCTCGCAGCTACCAAAGCCGATCTCTTTGACACCGATATTTCTCTAGTGATTCTACAAAAGTTGTGAATTACACAATAGCATCTTAGGACCACCTCAAGACCCAAAAATGCAGGTGATCCTGGGACAGGGGTTCTTAACCTCAGGTCTCTGAACTTGGGAGAGGAGAGACACACTGAGACAGACAAAGAGAAAGACAGAGACAGAGACAGAGACAGAGACACAAAGAGACAGATGACAGAGACAAAGAGACAGACACAGAGGCAGAGATAGAAGAGATTTTTATGCTTACATAATATATTGCTTATGTCTGTATATATAATGTATGTGTATATATACATAAGCATATGTATATATAAATTCATTTCAATATAATGGAATATATAACTATTTCAATACAATTGGAGAGAGGGAAGTATTTCAACATAATAGGCTCTTTTGTAGTCTTATGTATTTTATCTTATGCTCATAATTCTGAGAAGGGGCACCAGCCTTCACCAGATTGCCCAAGGGGTCCATGACACAAATTAAGGTTAAGAATCTCTGCCCTAAGACAATAAAAAGTTGCATAGCAGAAAGAAGTAAACCACAGCATATTATCAACAATGACACAGTATGAGGAGAGACGTAAAGGACATCATCAAACCCACGTATGACCAGCAAAGAGAGTGGTCATGCTTACAGTCTTGACAATACCATCTCCATCAATCACAGTTGGATATGTACGTATGTGTGTGTGGGGGGGGGGTGTGTGGGTGTGTGTGGGTGTGTGTGTGGGTGTGTGGGTGTGTGTGGGTGTGTATACATGGCTGTATGCAGTTGCCACGTGCTGCTTTCTCCAGACTGAGATGGATGCTCTATCAGAGGACATAAGTAGGTGAAGAGATACCATGGAAGACTGGCCTCAGCACAGCCAGGTGACCGATCCCAAAAACACACACTGGGATTAATTATAAAGTGTTTTATCATTCCCTTCATGTCATAGCAGAATAAAAAGAATATATCCCCTCAGGAAAGGCTCCCAAGGCCAAGTTCTCTGGAAGGTCAAGAATGATAGTGATGGGTCAGGCCCCATCATACAACTTTAGACTTAAACTGAATTTGGAACCATAGGACCTGAATTCAAATCCTGACTCTGCTGGTGGTGTCACCTTAGGCAAAACCCTAAACTTCTCTGAAGTTGTGTCATCTGTATGGTAGAGACAGGACTTTGCTGTAATAATGAAATACATGTATCCCAACACATATCAAGATGAAAACATGGTGAAAGCATGAGGGTCCAGTCAGTCTCTCCTAAATGATTTTCTGTAGAAGACTAAATGTCCACAGTCACACAATTTACTGAAAGATATATAGAATACAAGAGCCTATTTTGTTTATCGATTACGACAACAAATATTGACTTGATAGAGAAAAATGAAACCTTTTAGGTGCTTCTCCAAAAAAGATGTTATGATCAACACAAATTTTGGCTCTGCTAATTGTGTGACCTTGAACAAATCATTTAACCTCTCTAGGACTCAGTTTCCTCATCTGTAAAATTAAAGAATTGGACTAGATAAGCTTTCAGATCCCTACCAACTCTATAATCATTAATCTTATCACATTCTACTGTCTGATTCTAAGATCCTTGATCATCAACTCAGACTTCCAGAAACTGTAGACTGCTGCACTTTTACCATATGTGAAGTTGTTATTCAACCACCCAAAAGATGTAATAGATGTCTGGGTGTGGTGGCACACCTGCGATACCTGATGCCATGGAAGCTGAGACTGGTGGAGCCTTTAAGCCTGGGAGTTCTGAGCAGCAGTGGCTTAGCTGATGGGGGCTCTGAATTGAGTTTGGCAATAATATAGTAAGCCCCTTGGAGCTCTTCTGGGCCCCAGGCTGCCTGAGGAGGGGTGAACCAACCCAGGTAGAAAACAGAGCAGGTCCAAGATGCCATGATAATCAGAATGGAACTGGGCCTCTGGGTAGCCCCTGCACTGCCAGCCTCTTAGGCAGAAACATGCATATACACACACACATATATGTACATACACATACCCCCCATATACATATATACACACTACATATACATACACATATGTGTATACACATGTATGTATACATATGTGTATATATGCTTATGTAACTTTTATTTTTTTTAAGAAATAGATGTTTTATCTCTCCGGTTATTTTTTAACTTAGACAACAGGAAGGAGCTTTGCATGGGTCTGTGCCAGTAAGTACAATCAGGAGTATTCTGAGACCTGCTTGTACTGGCTCTGGAGAGCTGATTTTTAAATATTCAGTGCAAGCATTTTACACCCCAGAAATGGGCAAATGCTTATAAATCAGGATTTGATTTATTTTTTTTGCTTATTAGTTTATTAGTGATTTCAAATTCAAATCGACAAGGGGGGTGGGTCACTGAACCATATACAAGGACCCTTGCAGCCACAAGGCTCCTTAGCAAACTATACAGCATTATCTATGCTTTATTGTATTTTAATACATTTTGTTGAATATTTCCTAGTTATATTTTAATCTGATTCAGCCTAGGAGTGTTATGGGCCAAATGCAGCCCTCTGGTCTTGTGTTTGACACTTCTGGTTTAGACTTAAGTAGCAGAGGAAATACTAACAAAACAGATTAAGCTTAAAAGTGTGTCATGCCTACATTCCCCTGCCCCCACCCCTGGAGAGCTGGTTGTTAAACCTTCACCAGCACACCTGTGAACACATTCCTCTTTCATCATTGTGCTGAATTTCTTCTAGAATGCTGACCTTGGGGTGATGGGACATGAGTTCCAATGCTGACTCCTCCATTTACTTGTGTGACTTTGGACAAGTCACAATCCCTCCAGCCCACCTCGTTTTCTTCTTCCATACCCGAAAGGAGACTGGAGTAGATGACCTCTAAGACCCCATACAGCTAGACCAAAGAAATGCTCCATGTGCTACACTGGAGCCCAAAGAGATTAAGAGGCAAAAGAAGGACTAAATCAGATTCCTCTTGGAAGGCAACGAGGGGCTGTGATCTTTACCCCTGAAGTTCTGATCCATCTCAGAATGGTGCAACGGCCATGGTGCTGAATTTGGTATCAGGGCCTGGATTCGAGTATCAGTTCTGCCACTTATTATCTGTGTGACTCTGTGCATGTCACTGAACTTTCTGGGTCTTGGTTTCCTCATCTATATGTTTAAAAAAATAAAAAAGAGGGAGGAGGAAGGGATGGATTAGACCAGTGGTATCAAACTCAAAAAGAAATAGGTCCCTGCAGGCACATATTGACTTAGAAAACCACAAATTAACATTATCTGTGTTGCATTGTGTTTATTTTTTTTAAACATTTCCCAATTACATTTTAATCTGGTTCAGGCTGTATAACCTACAGGGGAGAGTTTGATACCTTTGGACCAGGTAACTTCTAAAATGCTTGTAAATCGATGATCCAACTAACTGGACCTAGGGTCATAAAGTTGGAGCACTGTGATTACTTAGGTCAACACCGCACGGCAGATTTAGCTCCACGAATCTAGGTACCTTTCTGGAAATCACATCTCACATCACCACCACTTACTCTTTGTCCCATAGAAACAGCCATCCAACATTCAAGGCGTTATTCAGGATCCACACCATGTAAAACGGAGTTGGCAAGACATCTGGTTTCATGTAGAACCATCCAAGTTCATTGCTGGCCAAAAAATAAAAAGCATCCATTCAGCAAGACTTACCGTCAACTCTCATTGGATTCAATGAACCCACCCACCCTTAGCAGATTGTCAGTTCAGTGACTTACACACATTCCATTTTGTTTAATAAAATCTGCTGTGCTCTGGCTGGAGGCCATGTACAGTACACACAAACATGTTTCCCCTCTGTGCAACACGTCCCAAGATTTATGTTTACAATGAAACCACCTCTAAGGACCCCACCTCCAATGGAAACTCCCTGACTTTCACAATTCAGTCCTCACATTCCCTATTTGACTTAGTAATAAAGAGGAAACCCTCCCAAACAACCTGTCCCTTCAGTGATGGCTTAATTATTTCGAGTAAAACACTTGTGAAAAGATTCAAGTGGGTGGGGTGACCACTTCATAAAAAAGTAGCTCCCAAACGTTTCTTACTCCCTATTCAATGACATGAGGAATCACACCATCTACCATGGGAGAGCCAGGGGACTTGGCCATGTGGTCCAAAGTGTAAGCTCTATACATCTTTGGTTACACCTGTACCCTTCCTTTAAGGTTCATTGACAGAGAAAACATAAAACTATGTTAGTTAAACCCAATGGCACCTCTTGGATGAGTTATCTTTTAAAAGATGGATGCCCACCACAAGAAGATTAGTTAACTTCCCATGGTCCCAGGCCACTAGGAATGAGATGTGGGGACAAGGTGTGGCAGAGATGGAAGACAGTTCTCTGCTGTCCTTCTATTCATAATGAGCCCTACAAAAAAGTATAGGTTATTCTGGATTTGTGAAAGTTCAGTACCTAACACTTTTCAATGTCCCCTAAATTGTTCCTCTTGGCCCCATGCCATGAAGAAATGGGTTTCTCTATTAGAGAACCACTAATCTGGCAAATGTTGAAAAGATAGCCGTAGCACTAGCACCAACAACCAAAGAGATTCTGGTAAAAGGACTTGTCTGATCCAGACCCTCTTGGTGTCCACTGGGGAAGGGAAATACTTCCTGGCTCCGGCGACTAAGGAAAGTTCCTTTCCAAATACAGCACCTTCTGCAGAGTCCAGATGCAGCGTAGCCAAGCCAAGCTAACTGCCACAAATAAATGATGTTCCAAATGAAGAAGGTCCAGCCAGCTGGGGTCAAGTTGGTGTTATACTTGCTGGAGATGTTTCCAACAGTTCTCTGGAATATACCTGGAGTAAGTGGCATTGCAACAACCAAACATTGCAGCTGTTATACGAAAGACCCAACATTTCCTTTCTCACCCTCCAATTGTGGGGGCATCACTCTGCCTTGATATCAACTCCTGACCCTTACTAGAGCACAGTCACACACAAGACATTTATTTGGGCTCTGACCTAATAGGTTGTCTCTAAGTAGATAGATGTGATTATATAACACTGATTCACAAAGTAGGTCTAGCTTTAACCAAGCCATGCTCAGGGAAAAACAGAACTACATGCTCAATAATAATTAAAACCAGACAAACCAGCCCTGCTGGTCTCCCAGACTAGGGTGCAAAGGAACCTCAGAGAGTCAACGAATGGAGTCTGTAGGATAGGAGGCTCAGATTTCTCAATCACGTTCACTTAATCACCAGGCTGAATTCTACTAGTTGTTACTCTCCAACATTTACCCATGTCTGATATTCTGATCACTCTTCCCCCTTGTATGGGTAGGAAGTCATTGAGGGGGAGATTGGTAACCAAGGATTTTTTTCAGGTAGTTGAATGAAACAGCCAGGATACAAGTTGACTCAGATGCTTAGAGTGGGAAGAGACTTTAGAAATCATCTAACCCAATCTCCCCATCTCACCCATGCCCCTCTCTATCATCCCTAACATATACCCACCCATCCTCTGCTTGGATATTTCCAGTGATGGGAGTTCACTACTTCATAAGGCAGCCCACTCATTTCATTGCTGGCCAGCTCTAGTTGTTTTCAGTCAATAAGCATTTATTATGTACCAGGCACAAAGTCTGACCCTATATTGAGATGAAATCTGCTTTCCTGTCATTTCTATTTATTCACTCATCCTAGTTCTAGCAACATAATTCCTTAGGCCCCCAACCCACTGGTAAGCTACCTCCAACTGATTGATTTGAAGTAAGTTTTGGCAGAAATGTACCCTCTGTAACCTGGTTCCAGCTGAATGGGTCGGATAACTATGGAAACTTTCTGTAAAAGCTAAACATCAATTGTTCCCCTACCTTTGAATGCTCCAGAACCTGCCGCACCGTTCATCACCACCATAACTGCAAAAGTGACCATACTCAAAGAAATTAAGAAAACTTTGGCCTTGTTGTGTGTAGACATTTTAGAGACTGAAAAAAAAGTCAGAAAAGAGCATGGAAATCAGTGTCATTAGGATTGCACTGTGCCTTCACCTAGGTCAGTTTCCTGTGCTGATGGGAGGAGGCAGATGAGCTGTTCCTAAAAGGCTTCCGATGACCAGTCCAAATGACAAGTGCCATTTATGCTTAATTGGATCATGATCTTTTATAATTATGACAGTGGGCGGATTTCATTAAGTGCAGCAAGATCCTGCTTGGAGTTAATCTTGGGGGGCAAAATCCAACTGAGTCCATATCCCCCACATTCAAATCTTGAGGTAGTGAGCATCTGAAAAAGGTTCCAATTGGGAGGAATAAGTCAAAAGTATACTCTGACTCCCAGTCCATAGAAAATATGTGAGAGGAAAGGAAGGAAGGGAACAAGTATTTATTAAGCACCTACTATGTGCCAGCCACTGTGCTAAGTGCTTTATTAATATAATATCATTTGATCCCTGTGAGGTAGGTATTCTTATTATTCCCATTTTACAGTTGAGGAAACTAAAACTCCAAAAGTTTAAATGACTTACATATAGCTCAAAAAAAAGTGTGTGAGGTCAAATTTGAACTCAGGTCTTCCTTTGTCTAGGCTTAGCACTCTACCCACTGCACCAGCTACATGCAAACCTGTATCCAGAATCAAGAAAACTCTGTACAGAAAGTCCAAATTTATAACCCAAATTAGAGAATAATTTCCAATACAAAAAAATTACCCTCAAATGATTTCATGTAATATTCTTTTAAACAACAGCTTTATGGAATCTAAAATATGATTTATGAAACAAGTTTTCAGGCTGTCTTCTATTACACAAAGTGAAACATACTTACATTGCAATGTTTTGGGGAGAATATCAATGGCATTTTCCTTTTTCATGATTGTAGGCATAAGGCGCCATAACATAGTTAAATGAATTCTGGTCTTGGAGTCAGAAGACCTGAGCTCTCCTTGCCTCTGATGCTTACTAGCTACGTAATCCTGGGCAAGCCCCTTACTCTTGTTGAGCCTCTGTTTCTTCATCTATAAAATGGGCATGATAATATTGGTACTCCTTTCCCACCAGGTTGTTGTGAGGAAAGCTCTTTGTGAATCGTAAATGTAAATGTGCATGTAATATCAAATGGGACAGTTGAGTAAAGCTCTTTAATTACTTTTCAAGCATCATCCTCATTCATTCTGTTTTTCTCAACACTAATGCTGATGGAGATGGCCGGCAGTCGTATCCAGAGGCCCCAAAGGGAAGGTGCAGGAAGTCAGACCCGCTGAGAGCAAACAACCCTCACCTCCTCCCAAGAGTATCCTCTCCACTGACTGCCTTCCAAAGCATGAACTCTTTTTAATTTCCTGAGCACTTTGTTGTCATTTGTCCTTTGTTCTCAAAGAGGACCATGACATCAGGAAGGTGATGCCATGAATTGGATTTAAGTGAGGCAGGGCTGGGCAAAGTCACCAGCCTCACTGCCTCCTCTGGAGCCATCTTGGTCCAGTGGCCAGACATAGATCAGGATGACTGGAGATGGCCCCCTCCTGAGCACCTACAAGCAGGGGTGAGTGGTTAAGGGGTACAGAGGCCAGCCTTCTCAGGCCCTTGAGTTTGCACATCCCTTTTCCCTGTGCATAAATCATTGAACACTCAGCAGGCTTCTCTAAGCAATGTTTCCATCTCTTTCTATGAGAGACCAGACTTCTGAGTTCTGCTTACAGAAGAATATTCATCATTCAGAGAGATGAAATGCGATCTTTGTTGCCATTTGTTTCTTAGAGCAAAGTCTTCCACAAAGAATTTAGGAATTGCCCAGAATTCTCCTGTTCCTTAATTCTAACTATAAATTACTTAGAAAAATATACCTAGCCATTCCCAGTCTAACATCATTACAGGAAAAGGAAGTCCTGTCTTACCTCTGTGTTCTCACCTTGGTTGCCTGATGAGCCCTCTTGCTAGCAATATTGGGAAGTCCACTGGGTGTGAACAGGTTCCTTCTCTCTCATAATCTCTCTTTCACTCCCTCAAGCATCTTTTGCTCCAGAAAAGCTTGGAAAAATCTAGGAATGCCAGAGTGGGAAAGGGAAAATCAATAGCGGCCTTGGTTTTCTGAGACTTCAATGAAGATTCTGAAAATTAAAATGGAGATCTCCTTAGGACATATATGTATGTATAAATGTGCACTGATGCAAACATCTCCAGAAACTTAGGAAATAGAGAACATGGGACACTGCATCCTATCAGCTGGGAACATGAATCCTCTACTTCTGTAAGAGATAATCTAATTGTTTTGAGAAACCCAGCTCCTAAAAAAAGGTTTTCTCTATCCTGGCTGGGCAAATAATTCTCTTAGGCAAGGCACTGGGAGCCAAAATGTGATAATAGTGATAGTGTTATAAACTGTCTTAAGTCTGGGAAGTGAAGAAAAGAACATGGCAGGAGTTTTGGGGAAAAATGACTATAAGAAAACGAATATACTCAATGGCATCTTTTCTCAACTCTTTTCCTAAAACTACACAGAGATGGAATTTGATAGTGGGCTAATTTTAGCTAATTTGTACCCAGGATCCTGAAGACAGAAATGGTCATCTGGATCCTAAATATTCCTTTTTGATGGTCATCAGGGAGAGATGGATAAGGTGGAACGAGAAGTAGACTATTCTCCTTTGTTTCCCACCCAATAGTGATATCAACATCAAGAAAAGCATGGAATCAAGCTGGCTTGAATCCTTGAATCATCTGACAGGGTTAGAATCATAAGAATCTAACCATGGCCTCTCTTTCCCTACCCAGACCAAGGAAATAACATGGCTCAACTTAGCTCTCAGGAAGGTTAGCACAGTGTAAAGCATAAAGTTCATGTGGGACAGCTGGACCATCACCAGTCACCTTGACTTATGTCTTGCCACTGGACTATGGTGACTCTGGAGGACAGAGTGAGGCTGATGACTTTACATAGCTCTGCCTCACTTAAACCCAATTCACACGCAAGTCAAGACATCACGCTCCTAATGTCATTGGAGCTCTTTGAGAATGAAGAATGAATAGAAACAACGTGTGGGTCAGAATGGAGTAATAGATAGAGTGTGCCTATGACACGTACTAGCTGTGTGGCCTTGGGCAAATCATTTAACCTCTCTGCACCTCATCTTTAAATGAGGCGGTTGGACTAGATTATCATTAAAATCCATGTGATTCTAAGGCTTAAATGAGACAATGTATATAAAACACTTTGCAAACCCCACTTTAGTGCCAAGAGGTGGTTAATTGAAGCTATGTTCTTTTTTTTAAGGGCCATTTTGAGGCAGTTGGCATTCTTTTTTAGCATAAAGGGAGGATTTATTTAACTTTCGGCATAAGCTTAGGAACAGTACGTTTAGAAAAGAGTCTTTCTGGATTTGTGCCACAATGTGACATTTGTACAGGGTAACCACATGTTCTAGATTTTCCATGGCAGTACTAATTACAAAGGGGCACCTAGGTGGATAGAGTACCAGGCCTGGAGTCAGGAAGACCTGAGTTCAAATCCAGCTTCATATACTTCCTAGCTATGGGACCCTGGGCAAGTTACTTAGCCTCAGTTTCCTCATCTGTAAAAATGAGTTGGAGAAGGAAATTGCAAACCAATTCAGTATCTTTGTCAAGAAAACCCCCAAAATGGTCATAAATAGTCAGACACAATTAAAAACAACTAAACAACAATGAATTATCCAGTACTGATTGACTTGTGATAGGAAGTTAAAAAAAAAAAAAAACGAACACTTTGTCAAATCATGAATCTCGTGGTGGTTGTAGACCTGGCTTGAAAATTACATCATCAGCACCACCACCATCCTGATGAGTTACCCACAGTTGGGTTAACCTTTCTTGTATCAGTTTCCTGATCTAGACGCATGTTGGAGAGGAGGGGTAAAGGGAAGATGCTTGTCGGAACATTCCTGATCAATCTGATTTCTCCCCAGTAGATCTGATATAATCACAAAAAGGGGACAAAAAACTGGCAGCAAGGAGCTAAAATAAAAACAAACAACTTCTGCAATTTGCTCATGACATATGAAGTTCTCCTTAATGGAAGGAGGAAGTCGCTAGCTGTTGGCTGCTAAAGGACAGGCTGAGCTCCTGGGCCGCCTTTAAAAGGCAAGACAGAGTACCAAACATAGCTCGGGAGACTGACAAGGAAGCCAGCTGGCCTCCTCCTGACAGATAGACAGACAGACAGACAGTCAGACAGACAGACAGACAGACAGATCATGGACTCAGATGCAGACAGAACACATGAACTTTTGGACATGGCCAGTGTGTGAGTTGGGTTTTGCCTGACTTTCTGTATTTGTTATAAGGCAATTTTTCATTTTGGGGGGGGGAGATTTGGTGGCAACAGGGACTAGTGATGTCACCTCCCCAAAAGAAAACAAAGAAAAGAAGGACATTGAAACACCAAAAAGAAAAGCACAGAAAAGAACAGAAGGAAATTCATATAAGCAGTACAGTTTTGAAAGTAGCATTATTATTGAATTGAAATGAGTTCAAATGAGATAATAATTTTAAAGCATTTAACACAGTACCTGGCACATAGTAAGTATTATGTAAATGTAAGCTATTACTTATTTTTATTATTATTAGTACTAGTAGAGTTTTAAGTTTTTAATAACAGAACACTACACTAAAACTCAGAATGCCTAGATACCTTTTTTAAAAAGCAAGCCATATATAATAAAGATTGACAGATTTGTGGTTTTGAAGATGTTTTTTGGTAGTTCTATGGTGAATAGATATTTTTTTCTTTTGGTGTTTAGGTCTATAATAAAAATATTTTCAATGAAAGAAAAAAGACATTTCATTATCATAATTCAACAGGGGAAAATTTTTTTGGATATCATATTTCTGTGATCTGTATTTCTGTTTTCTCTTGCATTGTCATTACTAGCATACTGTATAGTCAAATGAAATGACTGTAATGTTGCCAAAATGAAAAATGAAAAATAAAAAGCAGGCCACACTCTCCAGGAAGACAACAGTCAAGGAAAGGGAACAGTACCAGCAATGGAGAAAGAACTCAGCTCTTAAGAGGAAATCAGTTCTTTGTCCTTTGTCTTGCACCTCTACCCTAGCGTCACAGCAGGGGAGGGGATTTTTCTCCTCCACTCCCAACCAGCCACACTGGCCAAAGAACATTTTGCAGAGCAGCTACTCCCCTAGGAGGAGTCACTGCCCCCAACACTGAGTTGGCCCAAAGGGAGCCAGTCAATCAAGACAGCTCTGAGGAATGTGACCTTTGGCAGTACAGAAGAGTTAACTCTGGCAGTTGGGAACCAAGCTGGGGAGAGAGACAGACCCAACGTGTCCAGCTGATGCACCTGCCCAGAAGAAATGCTAGAGTTGTGAGAGAGCTGTGTGATGATTCCTCAAGAAGAGAAAGGACATCAGATCCCTGTGGTCCTGGAGAGGTGAATGATCTCTGCTGTTGGAGTTCTCTACTCTCTATCTGTGCCCTCTGTGTGTGTTTCCACACTTGTCACTGATGCTGTGTGTATTTGTGGGAGGATGGGCCACAGATTTATGGGGATGAACACATTCCCATGGGGAGAAGGGTATGTTTTTTAGCTAGTGTTCTCAACATGTCAGCTCAGTAAATGACTTTGTTTTGAACTAATTGTGTCCACTGACTACCTACTAATGGTAAGCATGCTGGTGAAGGTTAGTGAGTGTATGAGGTCACACAGGGTACCTTGAAGCCGGGGTGATCTTCCTAAAGACCCAACCTATACTCGGTCACATTGGGTGGGGGCGGCAGCAGCCGGGGGGAGGGGAGGAGAATCTTACAGGGTTAGAGGGGCACTATGTATAAAATGAAGTGACTGGGCTTGATGGTCTTTGAGGTCCTTCACAGTTCTATATCAACGATCCTATGATCTCTCTGGGGATCTGTTTCTTAATCTGTAAAATAATAGGGAATTGGGTTATCCTATGAGGTTCCTTTCAACCATAATTCCTATGATCCTCTGAATCTTCACAGTAATACATGCAACTTGTCAATATGTAATGATTCTGTGATCTTATTATTGAGTGTATATTCCCTAAAGGTACCAATTGGAACCTGACCCTGACTTTTTGCAAGGCAAGTACATGATGCAGTTGGACAGAGTGGAGGGTTTAGAGTCAGCAAGACCTGAGTTCAAATCTGGCCTCAGATGCTTACAAGCTGTGTGACCTGGGGCAAGTCACTTAACCTCTGTTGGTCTCAGTTTCCTCAGCTATAAAATGGGAATCATAATAGCTAGCACTGACCTCTCAGAGTTGTTGTGAGGATCAAATGAAGTAACAAATGCTAGCTGTAATTATTAGCTTTTAATTCACCTCATGCAGTTCTGGTTCATGTCATTCTATAAATCTTACATAGAGAATATAACTAATGACCTCCCTTTAACTCTTTAATATTTCATAGATACTTGAACACTGGGCTCCAGATCTACAATCCATCATTATCACTAGGTCAGCTCCTTTTCAGGTCATATCTGTGACATATCCTTATACCAGCTTTTCCATGTAAGTCATCATTGGCAATGTGGCACCACTGACCAACACTCTCACTGGATCTTTCCATTGCCTTACCACAGCTTTGATTCTTCAGAGATCATCACGCTTTGCATCACTAGGAGAATATTGATATTAGAGAGACGGGTTGTGTGTGTGTGTGTGTGTGTGTGTGTGTGTGTGTGTATGTGTAAGGGAGGAATTTGGGATCAATCAATCAATAAATATTTATTAAGTGCCTACTATGTGCCAGGCAGCTAGATGGCACAGGAGATAGAGTGCCAGGCCTGGAATCAGGAAGGCTTGGTTTCAAATCTGCCTTAGACACTTGCTAGCTCTACGGCCCTGGGCAAGTCACTTAATCCTGTTTGCCTCAGTTTCCTCATCTATAATATGACCTAGAGAAGGAAATGGCAAACCACTCCAATATCTTTGCCAAGAAAATCCCAAATGGGGTCACGAAGAGTCAAACACGACTGAAACGACTGAGCAACGACAATAAATATGCCAAGCAATACATGCTAGAATATGGAAAACGCTATTAATTTCCTCTGATCAAATCCAGCCCGCTTTCCCCCTCCTCTTTAATTCTTGG